GAGGAAAAAAGGGAACAAACTAAAGAAAAGGAAATATTTATGGGTGAGTTCATAAATTCTCCATGACCGTTTAATCTCAGATCAGAGCAGACGCATTATTAATAATTAAACTATCCAGCGTTATCTGAGAATTATGAAAGCTCCACCTTGAACAGACCTTTGTCCAAATGTTGTGATGATAAAAGAAAACCTCTCTTTAAGTAAAGCAGCTCTGATCTGAAGGTGACACTATGAATTTCAATTTTTAAATGATTTATTAAACCATTTATTACCTTGTTTAGAAATGATGGAATGAAAACTTTTTTTTTTTTACTCATCATTTGCACTTTTATCCTCTTTGTCCATGTTTTCACACATCATACATTTACGTAACTGGTTTAATAATCAGTAAAGTGTCTGTGTATCTGTACTAATGTGTTTTTATACATGTGCCTGTGTGTTATTTGTATGTTTTTATGTCAGTGGCTACAGATGAAAACAAGCATGCATGGCTAAATCTGGAACATTTACACTTGGGCTCATGAAAATTAATGTGCATTGTCTCTTTTATATAAATAAACATAAAGCTAAAATTTAAATGGCAGCAGTTCACTCACACATCTCTCAAGTATCAAATCACGACAAACACACACTCCACACAAAAACATGTCACCGGCCACCCGAGTGCGTGTTGATATATTTTGACAGACGACTGAAGGAGTCGTTTTAAGAAACTCCTCTGGGTTTATTTAACCTCAAGGCTCCTCCAGTCTGTCTGCTCGTCTCCTGCACTGTGGGACGCGTCTAAATTCAGCTCAGACGGGGACATCGTCCGGATCCAGAGCAAACATACACACATACCCAAAAACCAACTCTGACAAAATAATCCAGAATAGCAAAAAAAAAAAAAATGTAGACAGAAAGAAAAGATTATTTTGGGAAATGGATGCAGACGTGAAAACTACTTATTCACATCGTGTTATATTCACACAATGTGACAAAGTGAAAAAAACCAACAACAAAGATGTTCACAGCTAAAAATTCATGTCTGTCACACTCGGAGGCACCACGCCGACTGGGACCAGATATGTGATGTCAGTGATGGAGTAGCGGTGGACGCAGCTGTGCGACACACCCCGACAACACACACACACACACACACAGGAATGTGTTGGCACAGCCCAGGTGCCATCATTCAGGGTCATGGCATCGCTGCAGGAGCATGTGTAGGGACGAGCCTGTCACCGGACACCTGCGGTATGTCAGAGTGTGTGTGTGTGAGAGAGAAGATGTGTGTTCTGTTTGTACATGTACATAGATGTGCGTGTATATTTTGACAAGTACGTGCACAGTGGGACGTGAGTTCTCGTTAATGTTTTTAATTTTATCTGGAGTCATCAAAAACATTCAGAAAACTATTTTCCACGACCTCAGCACGATGACCATCCACTGAGCTGTCGGCGATCCAGCTGCCAGAGGTTGATAAAGGTCACGGATGAGCGCACGTGGCCCTGAACGTCAGAACGCTCACTTACTAAGAGAGGTGGGTGAAAAAAAAGAAAAGGAAGAAGGGGAAGGAAGGATGATGAACGGGTGGAAAGATGATGGCATCTGGGGAAACATTCTAAAAGTTTGAGGGCAAGCCGCCACTTTTCCTGGCACGGATGATACGTACACAAAAAGAAAGACACACAACTCCACCTTAAAAAGACACACACATACTCACAGTGTACTAAAAACATACAGTATATACTCGTATTCCCCCGACAGATCCATGCAGCCTCTTTCATTCCAGTGGAAGCTAATAAAAGTGCCCAGCCATTCCTCCCAGTCTTTAAAAAGCTCCTGTGGAATGGCCGGGATGAGTCACAGCTGCCAGGAGACCACCGGTCCAGATCAGACACGAGGAGTCACCCTCCTCCTCCGTCTCTTACCAGGACACGTCCACGCTCACGTGAAGACACGCTGTTCTATCACGTCCGTCTGTCACAGACACAGATCCACACAGAACCTCTGAGAACACGGAGGAGACGAAGAAACAGACCGAACCGTTCAAGTCTGAGGGTCACAGTCACTTTGTACATCGTCAGATCTGTTCAAACATTAGAGCGATGGGGACGGGTAGAGAGAGAGAGAGAGAGATAAAGATAGAGAGAGAGAGAGAGAGAGAGAGATAGATACAGATAGAGAGAGATAAAGATAGATAGAGAGAGAGAGAGAGATAAAGATAGAGAGAGAGAGAGATAGATACAGA